CAAATCTGCCTGAAGGACTTGGCAAAGGCTTTCTTCATGAGAAAAATAATGTCAACATTCGCTCTAAGGCTTGAGGCATGACGCAAAGTTCACCATTTCGGGAAAACGGGAAAGGCACCTGAGGCCAGTAAACAGTGTGGACAAAGGCACTGAGCATGAGTGTGCTTGGCCGTGGTGCGTGGCAGGTGGGACGGGGCCATATGTGGGAAACAGGGTTGTCAGGTTGGTCAGATCCCACAGAGAGAGTTCCAGGGATGGGTCATACAATCAGACCTATTTCTTAGAAAGATAATTCTGGATGCCTTGTAGAGTATGTATTGAGACCAAAAGTACCTGTTTGAGCTGGGAAAGGGAGGTTGGAGTTACTGCATTTTTTTCCCTGAAAATAGAAGTTGGGGTTTGTCCACACCAAGAGTACTCTGTGTGATTAGTGTCATGATACCTTAATTCAACAAGTTGATTTAAATCTTACACCAAGTTCAGCAGGCTAGATGCGGAAAAGACCCAACGAGCCAATAAAATAACCACTGTTGCTTCAACACCAACTGGGCACCTTTTATGCATTGTCTGCTCTTTACAATGGGCCTGCAATACCACAGATGAGAAAATTGAGGTTTTGGAAGTTTCACCTGCCCAGGAAGAAGCAGAAACAGAATGAGAAGCCCGGACTGGCTCAGTCCAAAGCCCCACGTGTGCCCACTCACTCAGCATCTCTGATTCTCCCCCCCCTCCCCCTCCCTCCCCTCCCTCCCTCCTTTCTTCTTTCTTTCCTTCCTTTCTTCATTGTCATCTTTAGCCAAGTTATACGAATGAATAGTTTTAAAAGCCACATATTTACATGAGAACGCCATAGAACTGTATATACAATTAGTTAGGGTTAAGTTTGTTAGTAACAGAGCCTGGAAATAAGTGACTTAAATAAGGTAGAGATGTATTTTTTAAACTGATTTTAGAGAGAGGGGAAGGGAGAGAGAGAGGAAAAAAACAGCATTGATTTTATTGTTTCACTTATTCATGCAATTCTTTGGTTGATCCCCTGACCAGGGATGGAACCCACAACCTTGGCACATGGGGACGACGCTCTGAACGACTGGACGACCCAACCTGGGCAGGTAGAAATGTATTTTTCTTTCATATAAAGGAAATCTAAAAGAAAGCAGTCCAGGATTGAATTGGTTTCCCAGTCATCAGGGAAACAGGCAATGGTTTTCCTCCTAACTTTTTTTTTTTTCAGTGTTTTTGTTTTCATCCTCAAGTTTTTGTTTTCCATCCTTTGTGCCTAGTTTCCATCTTCCAGTTTTCCTGCAGGTCCACGGGAACTGAAAGAGCTCCAGCCATCATATCAAGTAATAGGCAAACAAAGTAGAAAAAAGGGGGGACTCAGGGAGGGAAAAACCATGTCAACTGTTTTTGATTAAAGTGGTTTTATTGAAACTCTAGCTCATAACTTTCATTGGCTTCCTCTCTTGCCCAGAATTTAGTTAAATGAACACATCTAATTCCAAAAGAAGCTGAAAACTATAATCTTTTAGCTGAGTCCATTGCTGTCCACTTAAAAAAAAAAACAAACAGACTGGCTTTGTTGCTAAGAACAAAAGCAGAATATATACTGAGTGGGCAATGTGTACTTCCTATCATAGCTTCCAAACACATCCACACACAACACACAGGCACACACCCAGGCAGCAGTTACTTACCTTGATCCACGATACCTACATCTCTGCTCTGCAGAGCCAAACACTTTCAACACTGGTGGCTCATTCTTATGGTGATTCACCTATATACAGGACCTGGCAAATAACGCCCCCTTTTTATTACAAAATCATAAGCTTGTAGTTCTGTAACATAACAGTATCACACTCAGGCACACCATATGACCTTTTAGGTGAAATGTTCAAATTAAAAGTATACATTATTACACCCATATTATTACCCTACCAACCACAGTCAAGCACGTATTACTTCTGCCAGACCCTGTATTTCTAAGTAGCATGTCAGTATGTTCTAATTTTTCAGTTTTAAATAGTACCCATTGTCTATTACAAAAAATAAGTTTTTTACGAAAAATAAGTCTTTTACTCTTTACATACATATACACATTGTTTGCAGAATTATGATTGTAGAAACACAACCTGAGCCTCTAAATGTACTGTTTGTATTTCCCTCTCATGATAACTGTTTCAGTTTTACATTGCTGCATAACTAACCACCTCAAAATTTAGTTTCTTGCAGCAACAGTAAGAATTTGTTTTGTCCACTAGTGTGCAGTTCGGACAAAGCTCAGTGGGGAGGTCTTTGCTGTATGCAGCTTCACCTGAGGTGGCTCAACAGCAGTTGGATGGTCCACTTTCAAGGTGGCTCACGTAGTCCTGAACCAGTTGTCCTGGCTGTCAGCTGAGGACTCTGGTTCCTTTCGTAGGCTCCTTGGGCTTCCTCGTGGCATGGTGGCTACATTCCCAAGCACGTGTCCCAAGTACACAGGAGAGAAATGCATTCATGGTCTAGCCCCTGAAGTCACAGTATCACTCCGGCTATACTCTGTTGATCAAATAACTCAGAATGGGTCATGAAGTTCAAGGGACGTGGGCATACACTCCTCCTTTTGATGGGGAAGTGATGAAGTTCTAGAAGAACGTATGGGGTTGGAAATATTATTGTGGTCATCTTCGGAGACTATAATCTTACATGGTGTCTTAGTCCGTTTGGACAACTACATTAAACTACCATAGATGGCACGGCTTATTAAGAACAGAAATTTATTTCTCACTCTACCGCCCCACCCATAATCATAGGGAACAGAGCCAAGCTATCCCCACTGATTCCCATTCAAATTGTAAAATGAAGAGCAAATAAATGCTTACGTTTTAACCACTGAGTTTTGGGCGGCATTTGTTACACTTGCCACATGTAACTCAGGTGTGATACATTGTCTCTGGACTGGGCAGGAGACTCGGTTTGTGCTCTGGTTTCTTCTTTCATAAGTCAAAATCTGGAATTGGGCAAATGACTTTCTTAAGGCCTCTTTCTGCTCTGACATTCTATTACTGGGTGAATAATGCTATCATTCTTTACTTTTTAGTGAGTGCCTATCATTTCTGGCTAGGCACTGTTAGGCGTGGAGGTACGGTAAAGCGTGAACAAAGCAAGTCGGAGGCCTGAGAGGACAGGGTGCAGGCCCAACAGCAGACGTAATCTGAGCTCTGTTGTAGTGGGAACATTCTCCTCAGCCACAGGGAGAGAAGAAAAGGAAAAACGTGCATCTTGGCACTGAGAGATTTGTAAGTTCTTTCGTACTTATCGGCCCCACATTCCTCAGATATTTGTAAACCATGACTTCTAATTACTTCATCTTTATAATAACATCAGTGGAAAGTTCTGTAGCATGAAGCAAAGTCTGGCTAGTGCATAGATCCGTTTGTTTGGATCTGCTGGATGCCAAAGATAAGCAAAAACTTTTGTGTGTGTACTTGGCGGCTTTCATGTATTCCACATGATTTGATTTCAGTCTTCTGTGGAGGCCTATCACAGCACCATTAGGAGGAAGAGGCTGTGGAATCTGCAAGAGTAGATCTTTCTACAGGAGTAGAAAAAGATGGCAGAATCCTGTCCGACCAGTACTGTCTGTCCCAAAATGTTCAGGGTAGTAGGCAGATAAGCAAGGTTTAGGCTTTTGGCCTAAATTGAAGAGCTATCAATGTAAATCAGAAACTGTATCAAAACAATTGCTTCATTTTCTGTTTGTTCCTCCGAGAGGCCCTATCATGTATCATTCCAAGCGGAGGGACAGGGTCACAGTGAGCTCTGGGCTGAGTGTCCTGAGACCCCGTTTGCAGCCTGGACTTCGCAACCAACGGGCACGGCATGCCAACGGAGGTCTGTTGGCCTCACTATCGTTTTGTGATTCCCGGGAGTGTATGATGCTCAACTGGCAAGTACAAATGAACGTTAAGCTAGATAGGAGATTTAAATATGGAAGCATTAAGACTAGGAGAAAGAGCTGCACGAAGAGAGTGTCAAAGGGAGGAATGCAACGGCGCTGCATTGAGAGGTCTTTGGGACTCTTAGCAAAACATTCCTGTTCGAGGTTTGAGTCCAGTACTTGCGCAGTCACACATAAAAACATGTTTGCTTACACGTTGCTCCTGTGGAAGCAAAGCAGGGAAGAGAAGTGAGAAACTGAGCAAAACCAAGCGAGGGAACTGGCTAAGCAGCTACGAAAAAACGACCGTTGTGAAAGAAGACAGGAAACTTCTTTGTTGGAACTGGAGGTTGAAAGCCACCCGCCCCACCCAGCCCGGGAAGGCCTGCCACGGGGATGCAGAGCTGCCCAGCGCCGGGCGCCGAGTCCCGGCCCGGAGGCTCGGAGAGAAGCGCGGCAGGGCTCTCCCAGGGAAAGGGCGCCGCCCGGCGCAGGGAGGGGCTGGGGTCTGGCTCCTGGCTTCTGCTCCGGCTCCCCAAGCTCCGGCCTCCCTGCAGGCTCAGAGTCTTGCGGGGCAAGAGCCGAAGGGTCGCCCTCGCCGCACTCCTCCTGGGAACTGCTGGCCTGAGATGAAGCTCACAAGTTTGCGGAGGGTAATGGGGAGCTGGATGCCAATGGCCGCAGCTCAGGGGAATCACGACTCGTGTTTTTCGGACCAGTTTTTTCTTCCATAGCATAGACGCCAAAAAAAAAAAAAAAAAAAAGTGATTTAATGAAGCTCAGAGCCTACTAAAGTCTTGTTAATTTATTAATCTACGCCGGAGCTGAGCACGCCACGTGGCGTTCAAGAAGTAAAATGAGGAAAGGAGGAAGAAACCAGGCCGACGGCCCTCGAGAAAGCCTCGGGGGCGCCTTCTCGGAGACCAGGGCCGCGGGCGCAGGGGCCGCTCGGGCACCACGAGGCCCCGGGAACGTTCCAGGGCGGGGCGGGCCCTCGGGGCAGACCGGTCGGGGAGGGTGAGTCACCGTGACTCCGGTGGGCGCGGACGGGGAACCAGGAGGCGGGGCGGGCGGGGCGGGCCTCGGCAGCACCAGGAGGACGTCGCTGCTATAAAAGCCCCACCCAGGCCTGCCGCCTGAGCTCTGCTTCTAGGGACACTCACGGCTCTCCGCGCTTGGCCCAGGTAAGCGGGGCGCGCCCTTCCCTCCCGCTATGGCCCGGGGGCCGCTGGGCTAGCGGGGCGCGGAGAGGCCGGGAAGGAGACGGCCTTGCAAAGAGAGGCTCGGGCACAGGGACTCTGTGGGCCATGGGACGGAGGGGCTGGGGGGGCGGTCGGCACAGGGTTCTGCGGAAAGGGGGCGCAGTGGCAAGGTGGTCCCGCTGGAGTGAGAGTGGCCAGTTCCGCCCTGCGTTGGGGTTCAGGGTAGAGAGACAGGGTCGTGCAGCCCCCCGAAGTGCTCCCAGGAAGCCCGGAGAGGTGGCACAAGGGAGGGGTGCAAAGGGTAGCCCCGCATTCCAGACGCACTAGGCGCGGGCAGGGTTGGGGGGGAGCAGGGCGTGGCCGCTCTGGGAGCCGCGGGTCCCAAGCGGAGCAGTAACGCCGGGCATTGGCCTCCACGTTTAACAAAAGCTTTACGGCCGTTTAGAAAGTAATCCCCATCTTTTACAAGTTACTTTACTTGAAACAAATGCGTGTTTGTGGAACTTGACCAGCTGGAGAGAAGCGGCGGGGCCGGGGCGGGTGGGGGGGGGCGGAGGAGGTGGGGCGGGAATTTTTAGTAGCAACCCTGGTCCGAAGCGAAATGAAAAAAAACAACAACTTCAGCTCCTTCTCCTTTGTCTACGTTATCTTGCGAGAGAGCAACTTCTGATTTCCTCGGATTTGGAGAGTTTCCCACTTGGGTGACCCCTTTTGAATCAGGAAGGAAGTGCCCCCCGGCGTTCCGTGGGGAGGGTTGTCTCGGTGATGCCACAGTGAGTCAGGGACTGAGGGTGCAGAGAAGGGTGTGGCCCTGGCCTCTCCTGCAGTTCTGCGGAGTGGGCCCCAGCGCCTGCTGTGGGAGGGCTGGATTCCATCGACTGTTCACGACGACGACGGAGGTGAATGTGAACCTCCTTACCTAGGAAAGTGATTTAAGGATGCCCATTTTTTTTTAACCTCCATTCCCATAAGGATATTATCGAAAATTTCAAAAAACATGTTCACTCAGAAGTAAAGCATACTGAAAACATGGTGCCAGGCAATTGTAGAGTGTCATTTATATGTAAAGATTTGCCGTTTTAAAACTATGGGTCTTCTGAATTTGTGGGTAAAAGGGCAGTGGCCTTATGGGTGCAGGTTGGGTCTTTTCCCAGAATTGTAAGTTCTGGAGTCCAGGAACCTGGGCCCCTGAGTTCAGACAGCTTCTGTTCAAAAGTGGGTGCCCCTCGGGAACTTGGTGGTTTGAAAAACAATGCACTTTCCCACCGAAACAGTGTTACAGGAGGCGCTTCGGTTCCTGGCTAGCCCTGAAAACCTACTGAGCACACACTGGTTTCTGAAGACTAATTTGGGTGGTGGGGTGATGGGGGGAGGGAAGGTGGAAGGGTAAGGGAGGGTGTGTGGGAAGGAAGAATAAACCACCGAAATATATTTTTTGGAACTTTTATTAAAGTTGACCCAGATTAAATTACTTTAATTGGAAAATTACGTCTTTGTCCCCCCTCTGCTTTTCTCTGCCTTTCTCTTGCCTCCTTAGAGACCTTCTGTCTTGACAACTTACAAAAGCCACTTCTGCATTCCCTCCACCTTCCTACTTCAGTGTCTTTAACACCCAGCTAGAGATTAGCAAATTAAATGTATTCATTTGTGTGCACTAATATTCAATATTGGGAATGGTTGGTGGTCCTAAAATCTTCAGCAATCCAGAGGAGTTTTTAAAAAAACAAGAAAAACTTGTTAGCTACACAGATCTGTAATTTATAGAGTTAGAGACTTTGGAACCAAGGAGACACATAATGTAATATTCAGGCAACTCGAAGGAAGATTTTAGATGAAGCCAAGTTCAGAGAGGCCAGTGGTGTTAAGATATTCCCGTTAAGCACTTCCCTCCCTTCTCCTAATCCTGTCTATGCTCTAAAAGCTTCAAGAGTTCCTCCAAAATTGCCCCTCACATCTGCAGTAGAAGAGTATGCCCATCAAGGTGCATTTTTTTTAGTTGGGGGTTTATGATTTGGAGACGCCCCGGATTTTGTAATTTTCTGCAGTGCCGAATGACCTGCTTGGGTTGAATGCCCACAGAATGTTGCTGACTCACTGACTTTGCTCGGAAGCTTGTTCTTGGATTGGCGTCTCAGTACTTACCATTCTGCACTTGAGCTATTAAAGTGCTGTATTGATTGACGTTAGGCTAGACATTAGGCCAGCAGTCCTGGCCATTAGTTTCCTGGTTAATGTCTGATTGAAGTAGGTTTTTTGGCAAGGTAGATATTCTTCTGTAATTGCTATTGATTTTGAGGTCTGTGGGCGCTTCCTGCACCACTGGGCCTAGACTGTTGTCACCAACACAACATGCCGCCATGAGCCTTTGTTCTCATTCTGCTTGTGCAGAGGCTCTGGCCTTATTTGGTTCATGGAGGGTGGGTGTGTCACAAAGGAATCCTAGGCCCTGCTGGGCTGCTTTAAATGTGCATTCATTCCACAGTATCTCTTAAGCACCTGTTATGTTCTACTCACAGTTATAGGCACTGGGGATACTGCAGTGAACCGAAGGGACAAAATGTAGACAAAGCAAGTGAATTGTGTGGGCAGTAACTGGATTTTGAACGTTACACTTCCCCAAATCTACCGTAGTTCCCCAGCTTGGCTGGGGCTCCCTGTCCCTTTAACCCAGCTGTCCCCCCCAGAACAGATTTAACCTTAGAGAAACTGCTACTTAATGTGACTTAGCCAGTGTTCTGGATTTGACTGTGAGAATTCAATAGAAAAGGAATGCTCCTTTTTTTTTTCTTTTTTTCTTTTTTTTACATGAGAATCCACCCTCCTCATTTTCCCTGGTACCACACCCTATTCTAGTTTTAGGCTAACTCAGAGGAAATTCCAGCCGTTAAAAAAAAGTTCTTCCACCCTTTCACAGTCTGCTGTACTTTTCCTTCTCCTATGGGCAGAGGCAGTCCCCATCTACTTTGTTGGGGGGCAAGTCAGCAGGAGGGGTCAGGGAGACCCAGGCTTGCTCTGGGTGGTTCTCTGGAGATGACCTCCAAATCACCTTTTCAGGGTACGCCTGGAAGTTTTTAAGCTGTCTGAGCTCAGTCTTGTCAGAGAGAAGTCCTTAGCACCCAGGTAGTCTAATCCTGGGCTTGGCGTGGGAAATTCCGATCGACAGGAGTGGCTGTGACTGGGATCCGTGCCCTTTGTCCCCCTGCCACTCCCAGCCGGCTGCACACAGCTCACAGGAAGTCAGAGTCCCAAAGCCACTCTTCAGACCTTCCTCCTTTCCACCTCCTTCCACAGGAGATGTAGGTTACATTTCAACCTTGCCCATTGGACAGAGCTAGGACCCAAGGGCCTTGACAGGACGGAGGTGGGGTGCCGAGCCGGATGGGAATGGGCTGCATATCATGAAGAAAGAGAACGTGCCCTCCAGGGGGCTGGTCATGCTTCGCAAAGGTTTATGCAGAAGCTGGGAATTGAAGTCCCCAGCTCTGAATGTGTGGCCCTGGAATTCACTGGAAATGCTTAGTCGGAGGGAGAGAAAGGAAATTGAGGAAGGGGAGTGCATAGGAAAAAAAGACAATATGCAAAGACCTGGTGTGTGTAAACCCTCCCAACGTTTGCCTGGACGCCTAGTGTGTGCTGAGCATTGCACTCAGTCAGACCCATCAGGACACTGGAGTGAGTAACATGGAAACCCCATGGGCAGGTGGAATGGAAAGACCGCCTAGATACACTCAGCTCTGAAATGTCAGACACACAACAGCCACAGGGGCACGGAGTACTGGAAAAGGTATCAGTGCCGTTTGTGTCCAGAGGCCTCATGGGGATGTTAGCTGGTCGTGGTTGAGAGCTCCCAGTGGAGGGAACTCTGAGAAGCCCCGACCTGGAGGCAGCAGGACCTGGAGGCAGCAGGACGGTGCTGAGGGTTTGGAGAATAATTGCAAGTACAGTATGATTTCGGGGCTGGTGTGCTTGTGCGTGTGTAAGAGAGATTTATGAATCAGTAGGTAAAGGCCAGAGTGTGAGTTTAGACCTTTTTTCTGTTGGTAGCAGAGCCCCCGTTGGAAACACAATTTGCAGGCCATAAAACGCTGAAATTGAGTTGTAGATATGAAGGCCTTGATTTCTCAACTCTGAAAGTGCTTCCTGCCAACTGAGGTCATTCTTCCCGCTGGTCTCCTTCCGCCCACTTCATCCCCAGCTCAGGAGAACGTGTATGGAGAGGCTCTGAGAGCGGAAGGCTGCAACCTGTCTGTAGGTAGCAAACAAAAATGGATTCAGATCAGGCAACACAAGGGACAAGCCAGAGCAAGCGCTGTGTGTCTGTCCTGCTTGGTATGATCACGGCCGCTGGGCAGAATTCCAGGATTTCTGGAGATGACTTGGCCCTGTGACTCAGGCATTAATTAAGACCATAAAACCAAGGAGAAAGTATGTGCTTTCAGGAAGGTTCTATTAAATAAAAATGCTTTGGGGGGTTGGAGAGTGGAGTACAGGGGGAATTTCCTGCCCACCCCGACTCATGCATTTCTTTTTCTCCCCTTTTGGTTTAAAATTGTTGCCTGGTCCCTTAGACCCAACATTTTGCCAGTAAGGTTTTTGGTGGGGAAGCCCAGCCCTCCACCTCCCTCCACCCCCATTCCTTTTATTGGTTTTAAAAATCCTCTTTTGTATCATCAAACCCCTGATTGATTCAGCATGGTTGCTAGGGCTGTGTTTTGTGTCAACACTACAATGAAACTATAAGGTGGGCGTGTCAGCGAAACTGTTGGGTTGGAATCAGATTCTGCTCTGCAGACCAGCCAGCCCTGTTGCAACACGCTTTTGTTCCTGCGAATTGAATTAATATGTGGTCTTCCTGGAGCTGGTTCTTAATTCGTTTCGCTAGAGCTTATTTTTACTATGTCAAGTGTTGACTTTTAGGCTTACTTTTTTGTTTGTTTGTTTCAGCCTATTTGCAAACTTTGTTTTACTTTTGTGGGGAGAAG